TTTATAGAGTGAAATATTATTGTCATACATAATTCAATCTTTGAAACAACAGAAACTAACACAGAATAACGATAATCAAATTTGTGTTTGAAGTTCAAAAGTAGTTGCGTTATTTCCGGTTTCAACTAGTTTGAAAATAGAACGTCCTTGAGCGCAATAAAATCATGCGTAGAACTCCATCCGAACCAGCGTAAACTTATTGCAATTTGCGGGATTTGGGCCCAGTTTGTTCTTACAAGCTTTCTAAGTTTCATTTATCATTATTTAGTAAACAGGTCTCTGAAACGATTTAATATATCCGTAAAATACGTGGCAATCGACAATTGACTTCGAAACGTTCGAAATTTCAAACAAACTCCCGGCACACCTAGCGCGATATGCGTCAGATCAGTGTAGAAGACGCCGAACTGCAGTCAGACCACCTAGAAATATGGCGTTGAGTTCGATCGTGAGCATTTTCCCCGCATTCGTATCCGCACAGAGATCGATGTAATTTTTATTATAACAGGAGATAAGCAATATCAAAGATAAATGCAACAAGCTTTCAACCCAAAGTAGTTATTTAGAACGCCGTTAGAGACGTTTTCATTACAGCTACTGGGCCTTTAATCACCTAATTTGCATAATTAATCAACTTTCACACTGATATCTCAGGTACTAAACATCACATATCAATGAATGTACATGGATGCTGTAGGACAATAGACAGACCTGGATAATGGTGGGTTAAAATCTGTACATATTAATTACCTAATTTGCATAATTAACCAATTTTAAGCTTTCACACTGGTATCTAAAGTACTAGTTATTCCATTTCAATGAAACTTAGTACAAAGATGCTCTAGGACAATGTACAAACCTAATTAGATTGGGGTACAAATCTGTTCATATTAATTCCCTAATAAGCATAATAATTCATAATTTTTTGGTTCTAATCACATTTCAATTAAACTTGGAAACATAGATTTTCTGTTTATACATTGCGCAGACCTCATTAGTTTTACACTTAAATCTGTTCATATTAATTTTCTTATTTGCATAATTAGCTTTCAGCTAAGTAATTTCGAATTATATTTAATGTGTCTCCAATACTCTCTCAGCACATGGGAGTTCTTTCTAAGCTTTCTTTGATACTTGTTTGAGTCCACGTGACTTTCGATGTGAACGAGACTGTAGAACTATTCATAACCATGATTTTCTCCAAAAGGAATAGGTTGATCCTCATTTTTTCTACACAAAATATGCTATATATAAACATTTATGGAAAATATAGATATTTCAATTTGTACGTCAATTGAACGGGAAATGTACGTCAATCAAACGTCAATCAAACGTGAATTGAACGCGAATCGAACGCGAAACGAACGTGAATGGAACGCGAATGGAACACGAAACGAATGTGAATGGAGCACGAATGGAGCGCGAATGGAATGCGAATCGAACGCGAATCGAACGCGAATCGAACGCGAATCAAACGTGAATCAAACGTGAATCAAATGCAAATCAAACACGAATCGAACACGAATCGAACTGAATGGTACTTTTCTCACTCATCCCCCAAACCCCAGTGCAAGTCACTGTGACTCCCCAGAACCTACGTGAATGTAACTGACTCCCTAGGACACCAGTGATAGTCAGTGACTCCCTAGGACCCCAGGGATAGTCACTGTGACTCCCCAGGACCCTAGTTACAGACAAGTTACATATATTATGTAGGTTGTACACATGTGTAGGTTGTTTTATTTTTATTTTGGCAAAATTATAGCATGTTAGTTTTGTGTTTAGAGTAATAACAAATGTGTTTCTGTGTACAATACTTGTATAGAGGTAGCTGTCAATCCATTGGTTGTACCCTGAGACACCATCATCCAATCTAATTTATTGATGGTGTTCATTTGGTATTGATGTGTTCATTGGGTGTTAATAGTGTTTATTGAGCATTGATGGTGTTCATTAATTAATTAGTGCTATATCTGGCTTTCTGAAACCCATTTGTTTGGTTATCAATTCACAGCATATACTGGTCGCCAGCTAGCTGATAAGTCACAAGTATTGTTTAACTATCTATGGAGTAGAAAGCGACCAGTAGAGGTGAATCAACTCAGAAAACAAGCTATTGTACTGGCCAAGCAGATGGGATTAGAAGGTGAGTCAGTGTTTGATTTGAATTCCCTCCTGATTGGCGTCTGAATTGCTCCTGATTGACATAGTAATAACCAATTTTTAGGAATCAATCAATTTATAAAATAATCAATTACTTATAAATATATATATTTGATTTGTCTTCGCTACACCACACTAAAAAAAACAAAAGTTGTGAAATAATACACTACCTCCATGAAATCAACACATGTTTGATTTCTTATCTTAAAATGTAAAAATAAACATTCTTTCAGGGTTTTTTTATTCACAATCATAACATTTACAAGTTTTCTGATAATTTTATAAACCGAAATGGTTGATAAGCCAAAAATGAATAGTTCTTTGACATTAATACGAACAATCTTGAGTGCAATTATTCAACATACAGCATACAGTTATTATCTTTTACTCTGGGCTGACTGGAGAGGGGGCAATTGGATGTCAATCAGACACAAAACAGGGCTGAATCCAAATAACATGCTGACTTCATGCTTGTATCTTAAAACTGTGTTATTAAATGTGGCATATGACTCCCAAGTTTTGTTGATCCCAGTGTCACTTGATTTGATTGGTTGAATTTTTTTCTGTCATTTGACTTCCTAACCTGGTTGAAATTCTTCCTATGTCACTCGACTCTTTAGACTGGTTGAAATAATCCCAGTGACACTTAACTTCTTAAAATGTTTGTCGTAATGAAGATAGTGTAAGATTGGAGATTCACACAAAATTTACGACACAGGGGCTTGACAAGCATGCAGTTGATTATCTCACAGAAATTTTTTTTTTTTAAATTGTCACTACAATGATTTTTATATGCATATTTTCTAAATAACTCTTTTGAAACATAGTAGCCATGAAATAATTCTTAATAAATGTCATTTTTCATTTAAAAATGCTAATACATGATTCCAACGACAATCATAAATTGCCAATCCACCAGCAATCCTAACTGAATCTCCAATCCTATCTTCATATTATTTGAAATGATTCTATTGTTATATAATACATATAATACTCAAGACTGATCCCAATGGTGATTTTGGTCAAAACAGAAAATTATCCCCAACTACAGTCTTGTGTTTTGCTCATAGTAGACCAATCAAATTGTACTACAACATTTAAGTTTCAAACATTTAATGTTTGTTCATCAGATGAAAAAAGACGCTACAATGACACAGAGTTACTTGAAGTGAAAGAAAGAAATATATTGAAACAAAAGAAGAAAACGGTCATTATGCAACTCAAGAAAAAACTATACCACTGGAAAGCCATTCAGTAAGTGTTGAGTATTCAAATTATATGCAAATTACATGCAGATTATATGCAAATCAGACTTCCATTTCACTGAAGTGTGCTAAATGTGTAGGGGTATACATATCCCATGAAATAAGAAATGATTTTGCTGTTAGGTTCTATGAAGGACATGTCTGTACACAACAATTGACAAACTTTTTGATCAAAAACTAAAAGCAATATCTGAAACAATATCTATAGTACAAATGATGATTGAATTTAGTGACGATTTTACAAAATGTGAAAATATTTTCACTGAATTTTGGCAGGAGATGGAGATTTTGACAAACTTTTTGATCAAATACTAAAAACAATATCTGAAATAATATCAATGGTACAAATGGTGATTGAATTTAGTGACAATTATACAAAATGTGAAAATATTTTCACTGAATTTTGATCAGGAGATTTATCTGGCACTTGTGTTGAGGCAGATTGATCCTTCAAAATGGTCACCGTTTTCTTATGTTTTATGGTTTTCATACAATCATTTGGGATTTCTGATCCGTGCCATTGATGTGTTAACAAATAGTTATTTGTGTTTTACCCATATTGACTGTGTTTAGGTATACTAAAGAAATGGGTATGGTTTATATCGCATCCAAAATGGCATCTAACTACAGTGCAATATACCGAGTGTTGTATGAGGTGAGATTCTTCATGATGTCCTTACTGGTGCATTTTGTCCGATTGAGGATGACAATTTTATTGCGTGAAACCATAATCATCACTAACTTGTTCTCATCTAAGGGACGACGTCAAAAGATCGATGTCGGATAAAAAACTTATTTGCTTTAGTTTGGGGGTGGGGGTGGGGGTTTGACCTCAAAATTTTTCCATCCTACAAAAACGATTTTATTTTTTAATGAAGTCAAAAAAACCTTGGAGTATTTGCAGTTCGTTTTTTTCTATCCAATCATAGGCAAAAATAACAGAAAATGAAAAAAAACACATTCAAGACGAGAAAATGGTTTGGTGCGAGTGTAAATATTTGCGTCAAATGAGGTCCATTTCAGGTCATGGACCTAGAGCATGCGCAGAACCCTGAAACGTATGCGTACATTCCGTTTCATTATTACAACCAACTGCTATGCCATACTACTGTCTGATTACAACCAACTGCTATGCCATACTACTGTCCGATTACAACCAACTGCTATGCCATACTACTGTCTGAATACAACCAACTGCTATGCC